GTTCGGGGCGGCGTAGCCGCCCCGAACAAAATATAAATATCATATCCTACCCGCTTGGGGCCTAACCGCCTAGAAGTTACAGCGTAGACAGTGTCCGCTTGGAACATTTCTAACCCATGTAGACAGTGGGGTGTGAGAACGCGATCTTTCTACTGTCTAGTTAAAAAGACTGTTTTCGCACACCCGTCGAATGAGCCTAATTTTATCGAAATCGGAGGTGAGGGAGGTATTCTGAATAATTACCAAACAATTCTCTGAAGCACGTGGAAGCACAATACCTCTCTGCTTAATCGCAAATTAAACACGCCCGAGAAAACGATTCTCTGAAGCACGTGGAAACACGTACGAATTTAGGTTATGATTTTACTGGATCTTTTTACTAGAGAAACGAAACGCTTCTCCCAGTAATACAATATGGCGGTTACTGGATACTATACTGGAAATCAGTAAATGGAAACACACCCTCTGTCTAAAAAAATACACATGGGTTTCGATTTTGCAACAGTACAATTATAAAAGTCATGCGCCTCTTTGCATCACGTGGAAAGTCGAAACCAGTCGAAACCCATGTGGGACCGTACAATTATAGACCTCATTTTGCCTCTGTGACAGATTTCCTAACCTCAATAGTTATCAACTTTAACGCTTAATATATCAGATCACAAGGCAGAACGACGCTTTTTTTGCCAGATTCTTTCATTTCATGCAAAAATGCGTCAGATAAGCCTAAGAGTGGTTTCACAAAACTTTCCGAATTTAATAATTTATTCGATCATCCGCTCATATGTACGCGATGGAAAGATGCTGGTTCCCCATGAGGCGTACTTTTCGAGATGCGTAGGTTACGAAAACCAATCCTAAATTCATTTAGCATTTCTGTTAGAGTGTACAAAAGAAATTCTAATCAGCAATTGGTTGCATTAGTGCCGCATTTCTCTAAATTCCGCGAAATACGCTGTATGTGAATGCCAGGCTTCAGAATGGCGTAACGGGTATTCTATCTAGTAAATTACTAGAACACGCAGGTTATACATTTACGCAGGTTACGCTGCGTGTGACGGCACCTTAGAACATATATACCTGGAAGGGGAATTGCTATGTTCTCCATAGTAAAAATCTGTGTCTAAGTTGGGTACGAGAGAGAAAGATAGCTTTTAACCTGTGCTCGCAATGCGCAAGCGCGGATGACGCCACACGTCACACTCACCGCGCCGTTTGAAACTGTAATTTTTAATTGAAATACAATTGACAATGATTGAATAAATGATAAGTAATGTCGGACAGTGTACATAAGTGATAAGTAATTATAAACTTTATTTTATACAAGCAAAAGAACAAAATAACATTGGAGATATATATATGTATATATTATTGGTGTTTAAAGTGTATTAATTTTGAATATTTTTGTCTAATAAAATCTTTTTGCTTAATATCAGTCGCACTTTTTCCTTCGTGAAACAAACGCAAATTTATATAAATTTTAATAATACTTTGTATTAATTCAGTCTTATGGTTATTGAAAATATCTTGTTGCATAATATGTTCCATCATTTTATTATCATTAAAAACTAAATGACAAACAGTTTGAAATGATTTCATGCACAACACATTTTTAATATTTTTAGTTTTAAAAATAATATGACTGTTTTCTCGAATAATAGTTTCACATACTTTTGCTATTTTTATGACATCTTCTGATGGAAAAATCAATTTTCCTCTACTTTTTAAAGTTATTAATATTGAATCAGTAGATTTAGCAGTTAAAAAAATAGAGCATGTATCACAAATATTACATCGTAAAAGCTTTCTAATTACGAATCCACTGATGTATTTGACCACATCTTCGATATAAGAACTTAATGACCATAAGGTAGACAAGTAATCATGATCAAATGCATCAGTACATATCGTATCATTGGCTTCCGTGAATATACCATCGCTTATTATATTTGATTTATTTGCTGATGATGCATATAAAATTTGCACATCATCTATTAGGCAATTCCCTCTTTCAGAAGCTTCAATTTCATGCCTAACAAGCAGGCGCTTATAACTGCTCTCAAATTGTTTGGCATTAGGGTTGTCGTTGAAACCCCCTCTGCTACGTAGGGCACTGAAAAATGTTTCCAAGTGATCTTGGTTTATTTTGTACGTAAGTAAATATTTTAGACCTTTTTCTTTTAATATATCAAATAAATCAAATATATTTATTAAGCAAATTATAAAACCCAAAAAGCCAGTCTTTCGATTACTCTTCAAAATCGATTCGTTTGTAGAATATTGCAATTGTTTTATATATTCTATAATAATCCCCGCGTAATTCTTAAGTTCATTATAATTTTCATTGGTGAGAGGCATATTGCACTTTTTTTTCTTACAGAATTTTGATCTTACATTTAATATGTCGAAGGCATCATTAAATATAGAACAAAATAAAGCTGTTTCTTCTGCATTTGTAAACTGATTAGGAAAGTATTGATTGCAAACTTTCAAAGCTGTATTAACACTATCACTGAGTGTTTGGGCAGCCAATTTTACGTTCATTTTCGAATTCTTATACAAGATGTGCCTTTTTGTTAGCTTTGTACCAGCTTTTAAACCTTCAGTTTCCTGTAATGTTTGTAAGGACACAATATTTTGTCAATTAATACTTTTGCCTTTATAATATAATACTAATTTATCGCCTAGAGTGTTTCGCACTAATTTGAGCATGTGGCATGGATCGAAGAAGCAGAATTTTTTTTCTTTTGTTATACTGTGAATAATATACGGCTGAAAATTGTTTCCCAATTGAAAATTTGCACCTAAAGCAGTGCACATGCTCAAATTAACGATTGCACCATCAAATGTTACTGAATGCAATATTACTCCAGTTTCATAAATAACTTCGAAACATTTTTCTAGCAAACTGGCTCTTTCTTTACCATTTAGAGCATCGATCAAAAAATATCCAACGGGAACTTTCCAGTGGTCATTCAATGCGACTACCATAAATACTAATGCATTTGTTGCTTGTCGAGGAACATCTGTATCATTACTCATATGTATACCTAAATCTACAGGTCCGTAATACCGTTTACCATCATATACTATGCCCTGTCGAATCGCAATTTCGTCTACTACCAAATTACAGAAAATCGGTGTTTTTGACTTAAAAACTTTACACTTTAATGCTTCAAGTACTTCGTGAGTGAATCCAGGTCGACCATCTAATACCGAATACCACTTACGGATTGTTGAAAGGTCTGGAAGAAAATTTTTGAAAGTTTTACGTACATATTTGTACGCTTTGGGCGAATAGAAGTTCAGCGTAAGGGCAAAAGCTCTTAGTTCTGCAGGGTATTTCTTTCTCAAACCTTTTTTTCGTTTCAAAATCTCATTTAATACTGTTGGAGCTTCAACCTAAATGTACAAATAAAAAAAGAAATCTTGATGTATAAAAATAAAAAATTTTCTTCACATTAATCACTCTAAATATACAATTAAAAGTAAAAGTTGTATTATAAAAATAGGAGCTTATATGTCCATTAATTACTTAATTTAAATGTAGGAATAAAAAGTAAAAAGGTCATGATGTATCAAAATCGGACTTTTTTTTACAAATTGTTTTATTTTTTTTTTATTCAAACATTAATTATTATACATTATCTAGCAGCTAATCAATAGAGCGATACTTTTTACAATTTATTGGACAAATGTCATATACAATTATAAATAATCATATGATTATATATAATCATATATAAAATATGTCATATTTCAGATATAATTATATATGAAATTTGTCCATATATGGAATTTCTTTTCTCAGAAATAGCCAATAGTTACCATTAAATTATCAGTTGTTGTTTCCGATAATAGATCTTTTTGCTTTAAATGTTTGATTAGTCCATTTAGCGTTGTTATGCGACCAACTAATCTGATTTTGGCCTGCTGCAACGTTTTGATTTTCCTTCGCTGTTTTTCGATTGTTCGTTTCGCTACTTCTAAAGCTCTTAGAGCTTTCCTTGGCGTGGCAAGATGTGGCGTTCTAATGGCACCAACAAAACGAGGGTCATGTAAATTTTTGACAGGTGTTTGGAAACAATTACTCCGTTCAGAGTTTGGAGGTGTAGATGGACGATTCACAGTTAGGCAAGTATCAGAATTTAGTGTCTCGGTTTCGTCAATAATGTTTCCATCATCACGATGGATTCCCATAGGAACAGTTTCATCGGTGATGATGTCATTATCACAATGGATTGTCTTGTCGACAATTTCATCACTGATTCCACTATTGCTGACGATTCCATTGTCCACAGTCATATCAATAATTTCATTGTCTATAGTCTCATCAATAATTCTATCATCCACAGTTATATGGATAGTTCCATTGGTAATAACTCCATCATTAATGACAATTCCATCATTGACAGTCATGTTAAAGGCAGTTCCATTATTATGATGAATTTTATCATTGACAGTTCCATTGCTGACTATTTCCTCACTGATATTTTTCGAATTTTTTGATTTTTTCAGACTGCTATCTAAACATTGATGTTTCTTCCTCTTTTTACTCGTAATAGTTGGCAGAGCATTGGGCTTGAGAAACGTATTCTTAGATTTGTGGATTAATTTGTCTTCTTCGAAATGATTTGAACACAGTTTAGTAGCTGTGCTTAAAACATGTTCATCAATGCCACAAAAATCAAGCCACTTCTTACGAGTTTCGTCGTTTTTCGGAAATCTATTGAGAGAGAATGAACTTAATATTAAATTTTTATTATCAACAAGCATCGTACTCAGAGAGATAGAGAGAGTTATATTTCATCCTATAATTTACTGTTTATACCACATATTACAGTATTAGTTACCCATGATAAGATACCGATTTATCACGTTTACCGCATAAGACACAATATGGGCCTGGCATTTTTTCCTACAAAATATAACTTTTTAGGTGACACCTTCATTTCCTAACCCTAACCTCTCTTACAAATAAAACGCGCTAAAGCTGTGCGCCGTTTCGCTCATTCGCGCTTGCGCATTGCGGACGGAGGTAACAATCTACCCTTCTCTTTCTTTAAAATGTGGTTCTCTCTCGCACCCAACTTGGACACAGGCCACGATCCTTCATTCCCCTTCCAGGTATATATGTTCTAAGGACGGCACCCTAATAGCGATTTAGGCTCTAAGGGTGAAATCACACGGTGCGTCATAGGGCTGCGGAATACGGAATGCGTCATTGAAGCAACCAATCAGCGCTATTCCGCATTTTTCTAACACGCAAGTTTTGTGTGCTATGTTCACATGATGCGTCAAAGATGCATCCAGGATGAATAAATTTAGAAATTTCTAACTTTATGTTAATAATTTGCTTATTAAAATAAAATATAATTTCTCAAATTGTAAAAACAATTATTACTGTTGTGGTATTTAATATTTTACAATTAATATTTACAATCTCAAAACAATGTTTTGATCAGCTGTAAAGAATTTACTATCATTTTTCCGCA